AAGCTGTCTACTCTCAAATTTCTCTCTGTACACATTATAGTTACATTCCAAAATGTCCTTTGAGGAAATTTTTACTCAGTACAAGAAAGTATGCATAATATATATTTGTATAATATATTAGGTGTACAACTTTGCTTCCGCTTTCGTATAGATGGCTTTAGCAGTAAGTGGTGGTCGAAATAAATAGATCATAGACGTCATATAATAAACTTGGGCATCTGTCAACATAACCTCAGAGAAGAAACATTAGTCGATTTGTGTCTGCATCATAAAGTTATTCTCGATTGAAAATGTCAGTTTACGAGCCAAATTCTCGTAATTTACGGGAGGTTTTAATTTTTGCTTCAATATGAAGAAATCTGCGGCTGAGACTCATCGAATGCTCTCAAATACTTATAGTGAGGCTGCTATTAGTGAAAGAACGTGTCGTGAGTGGTTTCAACGCTTCAAGAATGATGATTTTGACGTCCAAAGTCATGCTCTGTATTTGGTGGGACCAGCTCGGCGTAGTGTATTATGAACTGTTAAAACCGACTGAAACAATTACAGGTCGGTATCGAACGCAATTGATGCGTTTGAGTCGAGCATTGAAAGACAAACGGCCGCAATACAACGAGAGACACGATAAAGTGATTTTGCAGCATGACAATGCTCGGCCCCATGTTGCGAAAGTGGTCAAGACATACTTGGAAACGTTGAAATGGGAAGTCCTACCCCACCCGCCGTATTCTCCAGACGTTGCTCCCTCTGACTATCACTTGTTTCGATCAATGGCACATGGCCTGGCTGACCAGCACTTCCGGTCTTATGAAGAAGTAAAAAATTGGGTCGATTCGTGGATAGCCTCAAAAGATGACCAGTTTTTTCGACGCGGGATTTGTACGCTACCCGAAAGATGGGAGAAAGTAGTGGCCAGCGATGAACAATACTTTGAATCATAAATGTATAACCAGTTTTTTACAATAAAGCCTCGAATTTCGGAAAAAAAACGGCGGAAGCAAAGTTGTACACCTAATAATTATGTGTGTATTATATATTTCAAATAAAGTTTTCCTCAGAAAGGAACGTTTTGAAATGAACTAGCCAGTAGTGAAATTCCAATTCGCTGGCAGCCGTCTGTCACACCATCGACAAGATACTATTAAAGATTCACATCCTTATGGAAGTTCGCGTCCTTCATATTTAAGTAATTAATAGTAAGAAATTTATAATATAATACTATTTTATTTTGATAATTAATTTTAATATTGATTTATTAGTTTCATAGACGTGTATATGCATTTAAAATTCGATAATACTCGATTTTTCTTTAAAATTATGATTTCAATAGACAAGTTCAGGTCGGCAAAGCAGCTAGGTCTGCTCATCGAGCAATTAAATATGATTGGTTAGATCACAAGTGAAAACCAGTGTTCATTTATTTGTTAGCAATATAACAATAAGCCTAGTCGTTTTGCTGACTTGAACTCACCACATGTTATCGTCCAATTTGATTATCAACAGAATTAAAATTCTAGAGAAAAAAAAATTGTAATTTAGTAGCAATGTATAAGATATTACCTATATAGTACCTATATAGTACCGATTATTGCAGAAGATTTTCAGAAATGTTTCAGCCTCTAACAAGGCTTGCCAGATCTATCCTCACTCCCCGCAGCTCGCGCCGAACTAACAATGGACATACACTTGAGTAGTAGTAAGGCCAAGCGGATGCGCGTATTTGGTGATCTTTAGATATTAATCTCTCGTTAATTATTACGAAAATTGTAAAATGGTAGAGAACTTTTCGTCTCAGTTTAATTCGCTCTACATATCTACAAACTTTGTCAGAAGAATTATCGGACATTCTGTATAATTTTATATAATTTTATATAATTAATCAGGGAATGGAAAGTTACTTTTTGAAAGTAACAAGTTATAGTTACCTACTCGTTACCGAATAGAAAAAGAAACAAGTTATCATTCTTAGCTACTGATTTTTAAAAATAACGTTACAGTTACTGTTAACTTGAGAAAGTAATTTCGTTATTATAGTAATTTTGAGATACACTATAATAATGTAAACGTCCACGCGTTTGTAAATTTGCAACATGCAAATAAAAATATTGTAATTTTTTGGTTTGTAACTAAGCACATTGAGGAAATACAATTATAATGAGTATGTGCAGTTATAAGAACGACAATACATTCCGCACTATATATTATACATTTAATACACGAAAAATGACTGTCATGTTACGTAATCACTAAAATTTTGATAATTACAAAAAATATTCAAAATATCCTGCTAATTACGTAATTTTCCATATAAAATAAGATATATTTACACAATAAAAGCAAATTACATAATTTTTTTCGAATTACATTTTTATAAAATTTTACAATTACAATTTTTATAAAATTGCAATATTTTTTATATTTATAGGACTAATTATGTAATTTTTATATCTATTATATATGTAAATTAACAAAATTTTTTTATAATGTAAATGGCTTGTGTTATATCGTGTCCAATCATGTGCAAAGTAACGTAAAATAAAAGTAAAGTTACTCAAAAAGTAACTTGTAACTTCATTACAAGTAATGAGTTATTTCCATTCCCTGATAAATATATATTGTATATGAAACATTTTTTCCTAAGGAGCCATTCATATACAAAAGTTTTTCAATTAAAGTAGAACAAGTCACAATAACATCAAAATAAATTAAATTGAATCGCTATTGATTCAAACGTGTCTTTTAGTAAATATTTTAGAGCCATTTTAACATCATGATAATTTTTCGTTCTGTTTAATATGTTTCTCAATTTATTGTGTATGATACAATAGATTTTAGAAACATTTTTGTTAAAATATTTCATATGACATATTGCAAAATATTTTCAGAATTATTGCATATGAGATGCGAAAGATTAAAACATTTCGAAAAACTTTCTGCAGTAATCGGTGCTATATGGATAACTATATCTAAAACATATGGGAATTATATTTTTCGACAATTGATATCAAAATTAAAGAGGAGAAATTCAACCTTCGCTATCGACTTTTTTTGCAGAAAGAATTTATTTTAACCCAGTATGACTCTTATTTAAACCAGTATGACGACTCTTTTGCATCTTTTTGAAGAGTATGAGAGTTTCCACCCATCTTGGAAGGATGTTAATCATTCTAATAGCAAAGCGTGCGGAGACAAATTTTGAACAGTTCCTACCAATTTTTTTTACAGAAAGGCAATAAAAAATAGCAGTTTGCTGATTGTCTGATAGTAACAAACTCTGTTCACAGTCTGTACATATAAAGCCTGCTGATATACTAGCAAATTGGTGACAGAAACCGCTGACAGCAGATTGCGAGCAGATACCGAGCAGGCCTGCTCAGTAAGCATGAAATTTCTTGAAACATTTTCGCAACGTTGTAAGAACGTTATAACGTTCTTTCAATGTTATTGAAATGTTTCAAGATGTTTTTTGCTCACTAGATGCTGACATAACTTGATTGGCAGCAGAAACCAAGCAAGATCTATCATTTTTATATATGACCTCGCCACGAAATGAACTTGCTTCTCAAGAAGAAAACATCCAGGAGTCATATAAGAATTAGTGTATGTAAATCGAATAGGCAAATTTTGTAGAGATTCCCAAACTGGAATATGCTTTTTGAATCTCCGAATATTTTTTTGACTATTTTATGTGTATTTTGAAATGTGAAAATAATCAATAATATTTCAGTAATAACACTATATTGATTGTTTCTAGTATACAGAGTATTTGGAAAATAATGATAAATCTTTCGCATAGAGGCAGAATGGACTAAACTGAGAAGAAAAGTCCTCTACCATTTTGTAATTTTCGCAATAGTTAACAATATATTAATTGCTAAAAATTGCCGAAAATTGGTCGTCAATATTTTTTTATTCAAATACTATCAACTTTACAAAAAAACTGCAAAAGATAAAAATTGTTCATTTTTTTTTCATATAGCTCTAATAATTTTTTAAAAATTTTTCAGAATTTTTTAATACTGTATTTTTTCATGTTGGTAAAAATAAAAAAATGCATACTAAAAAGTTGATAAAAAATTCTGAAAATATTCGTAGTGTTCTATGAGAAGAAAATAAACAATTTTTGTCTTTTGCAGTTTTTCTGTACAGTTGATAGTATTTGAGTAAAAAATTATTGAAGACTAATTTTCGGCAATTTTTAGCAATTAATATCTTGTTAATTATATTACTGATTAGCTTCACATTTTAAAATACACACGATAAAGTTATAAAATAATCAATAAAATATTCAAAGAAAGCACACTCCAAAAGAACTTGAGAATCTTTAAAAGATTTGGCTATTCGATTTATTTACGTCAATTCTTATAGGATTGTTGGATGTATCTTCTTAGAAAAAACTTCTCTTGCTAGAGAAACAAGTCCAATTCGTAGCAGAGTATATGAAAATGAGATGCTGCCAATTTGCCGCTAGATTATGTCAGTAGCTCTGCTTGGTTTCTGATCGCAATCTGTCAATTTATATGTGTTAAGCCTGGTCGCGATTCCTTGAAGGGGAGATAAGCTTTTCCAAATGTTGCAGATTTTGAGTATTTTTATTGAAAACATCAAAATTGAATGTTGTGCAATCGATACCCTATAATAGCAAAATATTAACAATTTACGAGCAAATTAACAGTAAACTGGATCAGATTGGCAATCAACTGGATTTTAATTACAGAACCATAGCCAACAGATTGCTGACAAAACCAAGCAGAGTCTACTGCGCGCGCGCGCGCGCGCACACACACACACACACACACACACACACACACAAAATACACATGTATAACATTCACAAATACGCGCGCGCGTATGTGTGTGAAATAAAAGGTTTTCATTTTCCATACTTGTCGAAATAGGTAACAAAATCATTACAGTGGCCTCTTAATCTATGAAGACGAAAATTTGCCACGGTTAATGATCTTTAATAATATCTTATCGGTGATTATACTTATTCATACATTTTATACAGATTGTCATCTATGCGGAACCAGTGATATTAGGCGTCCGATTTCCACAAGCTACTTTCTTCATCTCAAAAACAGATTTTTTTATATTCATGCCCATTGTCGCCTAGAAAAATGTATATATACGTAAGTAGCAAGAGTTGTGTGTGTGTGTG